GACTAAGACGGACTATGAAGACGGGCCTAGCGATCAACTCCAAAAAATCAGCCAGTGAAAACCCTATAGACTACAACAGTCAGATCCCGTTGTGCATGGGCTCACCATGAGTTGGGGGCTGACTCAACGGCAGCTAACAACAGCAGTTAAGTATCAGAACCCCCACGCACTGCAGTACTATGCAGTCATTAAATATGATGTTATAGAAGAAGATCTAACGCCATAGAGAAAGGTGTTTATGGTTACGCTAACCCGTTGCTCTCAAGTCGATTCTGACACACAGTGACTCTGTAGGACAGAGTAGAACTGCTCCATAGCATTTCTTTACAGAAGCAGATTGCTACATCTTTCTCCTGTGAAGCGGCTGGTGGGTTTCGACCTCCAATCTTTCTGTTAGCAGGGGAGTGCTTAACCACTGCACCACCAGGTCTCCCTAAGGCTATGCTACCAGGTGACGAAAGCTCGTTGCAAACCAGTATGAAGTGGTGTGATTCCATTTCTTCTTAAAAAAAAGCAGTGCATTCACATGTAAGCAAAAATCAGTTTACAAAACTATGTCCAAGTCACAGGGGTCATTCTCCAGGAGAGACCTGATGTTAGGTGACAAAACAAGACTTAACAGATTTAACAAAGTTGAAATCATACAAAGTGTTTTCTCCCATCACAATGGTATGAAACTAGAAATTAATAACAAAAGGAAAACTGTGAAAATACACAAACGTGGAAATGAAACAGTACACTATTAGCCAACCAATGGGTCAAGGAAAAATCAAAAGGGAAATTAGGAAACTATGCCTAAGGGACAACACAGAGAGAATATGCATACAGAACTCTGGATGGAAGCGCGCCAAAATGTTGCTGGCAGTTACCTGTGGTTGTGGAATTACGGTTGCACCCCCCACCCCCCGCCCCGGTATTTTCACTTAGGTATATTTTCTAGTTATTCTAAATTGTATTTGTTCTGTAATAAATAATTAAACAATATGTTTACCTATGCACAGAAAAGAGCTAGGAAGATATTAAACCCAAATGCAAACAATAGTTATTTATATCTAGGTGGCGGGACTGGAGGTGAGTTGTTTTTCATTTGTATAATTAAAAAGTTTTGTTTTTTTTTTTCCCCTCCAGCGGCTGTGACTGTCCTCAAGGCGGCCCCACTCCACCGCTAAGGCAGCTCTTTTCTGGACAGTGTCCACCCAGCGAAGCCAATTCCATTAAATGTGTACAAGCCTCTACTCTGGATCGCTCTCAGGGAAGCTAGAGTCTCAGGAGAGATGGATGGTCTCCAGAGTGGGGTGCAAGAATCCCCGGGGTGAGAACTGAAAGGGTTAGAAGTCCTACTTTGCATCCTTTGAACATGTCCACTTTTGTGTGTGCTTTATAAAGTACAGAAGAGATGGATGCAGCAGACCTACCCTGCCTGTTGCCATCGAGTTGATTCTGACTCACAGCGACCCTAGATGACAACGCAGAACTGCCCCATAGTGTTTCCTAGGCTGTAATCATTACGGGAGCACAGAGCCAGGCCTTCATCCTGTGGATCAGCTGGTGGGTTCGGCCAGTTAGCAGCCAAGTGCTTAAAGAGTGCATCACCAGGGCTCCTAGACCTGGCCATGCCTTATCGATCAACTAATAGATGTTCATGGAGCACATATGTATGTTCTGATAGGACGTGATTACACCGGCCTGGAGTCCAGTGGCCTGGGACGAGGAGGGAGCAGACACATAGGCAAACAGGTCTGACACAGGGGCCGACTTGGACCCAGAACCCTGGAGTCATCTTTAATTTCTCTCTCTCTCTCCCCATTTCTCTCGCTCTCCCTGTCTCTCTGACTCCACCTCTCTCTCCGTCTCTCTCTCTCCATCTCTCTCTCTCCATATCCAATCCGCTGGAAAATCCTGTTGTCTCCACCTTCAAAACAGATTCCCGAATCTGTCCACTTCTCACCAGTTTATTAAACCACCTCCCCCGCAAACACCTGGGTCCGAGCCGCCAGCATCTCTGGCCCGAACCCCTGCATCAGCCTCCTCACTGGCCTCCCTGCTGTCTTCTTCCAGGCTGTCCCCGACATGGCAGCCTCTGCTCAGAGCCTCCTCTGGCACCAGGTCCTCAATGCCCATGACGCACACACCATGACCCATAGGGTTACCCCCACCTTCTCCCTCTCGATCACTCCGCTGCAGCCACAGTGGCCTCCTCGCTGTTCCTCAGACTCACCAGGATTGGTCCTGCCTCAGGATCTTTGCACTGGCTGTTCCCTCTGCCTGGATCACTCTTCCCAGATCCCCACATGTTCATACCTCACCGTCTCTACCCATTTGCTCCACTGTGCCCTTCTCAACGAGGCCAACCCTGACTTCCGTGTCTTAAAAGCTGCACAGGCAGCCTCTCCTCCTGCGCTCACCAGGTTCCTTCCCTACTCTCTTTCAACACAGCTGACTTATTTGTCATGCCTGCATTTAGAGCCACAGCTAGCCAGAGACGGCAGGGTTGTCCTCTGGTTTGCTCACTGCTGCCTCCCAAGCACCAGGAACAGGGACTCCCACAGAGAACACAGTGAAGAGATATTTAATAACTAAAAGCGTGAAAAGCAAGAGCAGGGGCGTCTGGGGAGCCGGGGGCCCCAGAGGGAGGCGATTAGGGAAGGCTCACCTGGCGGGGGACCAGGTGAAGGAAGGGGTGTCCAGGCAGAGAAACTGGCATCAGTGGAGCGGCTGGAAGCGGCTGGGCCCCGCTGAGGAGGAGTTAGTTCTTAGTTAAGGAGTCATCAGGGGGCTTTAAGCAGAGAGAGCACCAGAAGGCTTGAACTTTGAGGGAGGCCTTACTTCAGTGGCGGCAATGTGAGGACGGATTGGGCAGTTAAAGATTTAGGAGTTGGCTGGGCTCTGGGAATGTCCCTGGGTGGCCCAAACGGTTTGCGCTCAGCTACTAACCTGAAGGTTGGTGGTTCGAATCCACCCAGCAGTGCCACAGAAGAAAGGCCTGGTGATCAGCTTCCGTAAAACTTAAGCAAAGAAAACCCTAAAAGACAGTTGTGCTCTGTAACACATGGAGTCACCATAAGTTGGAACTGACTAGAAGGCAGTGGGTTTGGTTTTTTGTTTTGGGGTTCTGGGGGGATGTTGTTTGGTTGATAGTGTTTATCAGTAGCCTCCCAGGTCTGCAGATAGAGACCCGTGGTTCACCCCTGCCTGCCTGGCGCCTAGTGAATGTTCGCAGGACTATATTGTGCACTGAGCTCGCTGCAGAGAAAACTGGCTGGGTTTGGCTACAGGAACGTAGCGTGGCCTTGGGCTGTTGGTTGGGCGGACTCAGCTCCTAACCGTTAACACACTCCTTGACGCCCCACAATACTCTCCACTTCTGGCTTCCGGTTCTGTAAGCATTGGTCCCAGCCTGCTGTCTATGCCCCTTGCAAATGTAAGCTGCCCAAGGGCAGGGCAGGGCTTCTCCTGACTTGGATTACTCAGAACAGGGCTTGGCACTGAGCCAGGGCTGTTGGTGTCTGTCGAATGTTACCTGAATGAATAGAACGAAGGAAGGATGGAGAGGGTACAGGGAAGAGGATGCTCTTTAAGCGCAACATGACAGATCAACGAGGCTACAGCTAAAGGATGGGAGATAGACTTAAAATGAACTAGTAGAAATGGTAACCTGTTGGAAGAGGCAGCTGATGAGGGGCCTGGGGTCAGAGGGATGCCATCCTGCAGGAGCAGGGGCGGGGTGATGTGATGAGAGCCCTTTTATTTCGGGAGCCCCAGCTTCAGGTTCACCGGTCCTGCCCCACAGCCTCCCAGAAGAGATGAGGGCCTCCTTCCCTTTGGAAGCCCCCTTGGCACTATCCCTCCCCGCCAGAGGTGCCCTCTCTTCCCACAGAAGGGAGCACTGTTTCCAGGGTCTCCAGGACAGTCAGATGGGGGCTGCTGACTCCTGTCCCCCCTCCCTAGGGACAGACCAGAAAGAAATGCAGCAAAGAGAGGAAGATCAGATCTTGAGGGTCTGGAACCCCAGCTTTATGGATGGATGGGGAGGCCTGCGTGAGGGCAGGGGGATTGACCCAATGCTTTTGAAAGAGTGGTTCTCAACCAGGGGCCACTGTCCCCAGGGAACATCTGGCAATATCTGAGGATATGTTTGTAATGACCAGGGGTGGTGGCGCTACTGGCTTCCATTGGGTAGAGACCAGGGACACTGCTCAACATCCTACAATGCACAGGACAGCCCCACAACAAAGAATGGTCCGGCATCAAATGTCAACAGTGCCGAGGTTGAGAACCTGCTTTAAAACAACGCAGCTCTGTTCGGCCACCTGAATCATAATCAGGATGAACAAACGTCCAAGCGCTCACCATGAGCCAACAGACTCTATCATTGCGTGTCTTCCCATGAGCTCCCAGAAACGGAGGCGAACCCCTTATCCACAGGAAATGAGGATATAAATAACTTGCACCCACTGAGTGCTTGCCAGGTGCCAGAACTGATTCTAAACCCTTGACAAGTATTGAATCTATCGGCCCTCACACCAACTTAACGAGGCAGGGGCTCTTATCACCCCATTTTCCAGAGAAGAAACTGAGGCTCAGCCTCATGCCGGCCATGGCCCAAGGCCACGAAGTGGGTACCAGCTGCTGCGGAGAGCTCAGACTCTCCCGGTCCATCCCTGGTGGATGGGACACTCAGCACGCGCGGTGACACCAGGGTCCAGGTCAGGCCGCGGGCTGTGACAGCAGGCAGGCAGCCCTGCTCCCCACTGGAGACAGAGCACCGGGGGACCGGGAGACACCAGCTAGCCCCGGCCCGCTGCCTTGGAGGCGGCTCAAGTTCAAAGGCTGCAACGGCATTTCTCAGGTGCCCCCAGGGGGCAGGAGTGAGGGCCGGTCCCGCTCCCAGCCTCCTCCGCAGCCCCAGGGCTGAAGGCGGGAGTCTGGCTGGCGGCAAAGCGCAGACACCCGCCGCCGCGCGCACCTCCCCAGCACGCCTGTGCCCCCGCCCGCCTCACCTGGATGCCGTTCTCCTGCAGGTTCAGGTAGCGCGTGTTGACCGGGATGCTGGCCGGCACCTCGGCCAGCTCTCTCCGCGTGCAAATCACCCGGCTGGCCTGGTTGCTGCACGAGCAGGCTGCGGGGCAGGAGGTGGCCGGCGGGGAGCCCCCTCCGGCGGCCGACGTCGCGGCCACGCCGCCCCCACCGGCCCCCAGGGGCGGGGAGAAGAGCCAGAGGAAGAGCAGGGCCCCGTGGGGCCAGGACATCCTACCGGGCGTCAGCGGGGGGTGCGGGGAGCCGCGGGCGCGCGCCATCCTCAAAGTTCATGCTCCGCGCGGGCGCCGGGGGGCTGTGCGGAGAAAGAGGGGAGAGAAGCTCAGTGAGCAGCCAGGGACCCCGCGTAGCCCACCACTACCACTTGCCTGAACTACCCGCCTCCCCACCATGGAGGGAGGGAAGGGCACAGAAAAGACAGACACACAGCGCAGGCGGAGGGCGGCAGAGAAGGGTGGCCCAGCCGCTCGCTCCTGGCACTATCTCATAGCGTCCTCTTCCCAGCCGGGAAGATTTGATTCCCCTTTTGCAGACAGGGAAACTGAGGCTGGGGGAGAGGTAGTGCTTGCTCACAGTCCCTCACCCAGTAAGTGGAGGAGCTGGGATTTGAACCCAGGCTGAAAACTTGTTTTTTTTTTTTGCATGATTTCACACAGATAAATAATGAAGAGACAGACAAGACAATGGGGACAGAGAAAGGGTGAAGGACAAAGCCAGGGAATCTGGGTTAGGATCTGGCTCCCACCACAGCACCCGCCCATGCCCTCTCACCCTCTGCATGAACCTCTGGGGGGTGTGTCCCAGCCTCCTATCTCCTCACCTCAGTCCCACACCCCTGTCACCTCAACAGTTGCCCCGTCTGGCAGCTTCTTCCTCAAGCTCCCCTTTTGAGTCTAACTCAGATCCCTCCAGCTGCTGTGAGGCCCCTTGGGTGACTGAGGAGCAGAGTCCAGGCCAGCACGAGTGCCCCGAGGGCAGAGGAGTCTGGGTTGGCTGAGAAGCGGGGAGCTACACCTCGTTCCCAGCACTCCTTGGGGTGGGAGGTGAGGGATGGGAGGTCACAGGGGGTGAGAAGACCCAGCTGGGAGGGCAGGACTGGGGGTGACAATGGGGAGGAGTGGCCTCCGAAGGCCTGGCTGGGAAGGCAATTGCAGGTGCTCAGAGCGTCTGGTGGGCCCCGTGCCAGCGGCTGCCGCAGGACCAGGACCATGCTGGGAGAGGGTGCTGGGGAAGGGAACAGGGCAAGGGTTCTTGGAGGGGGTGGGCAGGGGGAATTGGACCCTCTGAGGGGTCACTGCTGCCCCTTCCCAATCTGTCCCCCCACCCCATTTCCATAGGACGAGGGAGGAATGGGCTCATCCTAACAATAACAATGATAATAATAATAGTAGCAGCTCCTGCAGACCAAGTAAGCCCTTTCTATGCACCACACACTTCATTTAAGCCTCACAATAACCAAAGGAGGAGGCTGTCTGGAGGCCCATTTTACAGAGGAGGACACTGAGGCCCTGGGAGGGAGAAATGGCTGGTCCAAGGACACACAGCTGGCTCGCTAAGTGGCTGAGGGAGACTCACGCCTGGGTCTGTCTCCTCTGGCTCCACGCCTTCCCCTCCACGCTGTGTCTCGAGTACACACAAATGCACCCACGTCACAGGCTCTGCCCCAGCACACGCCAACCCCCAAAGAGTTTCCCACAAGTGGCGGGAGGGGAGCGTCCACATGACACACACACCAACACACTCACACAGACACCCTTTAGCTGTGGACACAGGGCCACCCCCACATACCCCCACGGATACACACACGTACACGGACACACACACACACACACACAACGGACACACACACACACAACGGACACACACACACACACACGCACACACATGCACACGGACACACACACCTTCACTCTCCTATGGTTTCCAAGATCATCTTCACCTAGGTAAAAATGCACGTGCCTGTGTCTGTGTGCAAGCTAGAACAGAGCTGTGGGGAGCCGGCTGGCTCTATGTTCCCCGGACTCATTTTCCACCTGCAGGGCTGGGGCTGCATGGGCCTGTGCCTGTGATGGGGGTGGGGGTCTGCGTTTCTCCGAATATCTCCCCCGCTCCCATGTGTGACCAGGACCGCTATGCTCGGTCCTCGTCCTGAGTCCATCTTTCTTCCCACCTCTGCAGCAACCCAGCCCACACCCTCCGAGTAAGGGGCCAGCGCAGCTCAAACTGTCGGGATTTGAGACTGGGGGCCCGAACGCCCGCGGATAGGAGGCCCCTCGGCACGTGGACGCCCACGGCACCCCCACCCAGGTCCTCCGCGCTGCGCTTTTGTCCCCGTCGCTCCCGCTGCCAGCCCCGCATCCCCCCCCACCCCCCACGGCTTCCGCAGCGGCTCCCTCCCCTTCCCTCCTTCGCCCTCCGCCATCTCCCGTCCTTGTCTCTCCCTCCCCCCGCCCCAGTGAGAGACACTCACCCCGTGGCTCGGCTCCCGCTGGGCCTCTCCCTGCACCCCAGAGCCCCCCCTCCACATGCCTCCAGCAGGCGGGGGGCTCCGCCTCCCCAGTTCTCCGGGGCTTGCCGTCGAGGTCGTTGGGGGGGGGGGCGCAGGGGCTTCTTGGATCTCCCCGCGCCCCCCCCTCCGTGCCTGTCGCCCTTCCCACCCCTCGGGGAGGCCGTCCTCAGCGGCTGAAGCGGCGGTTGGCTCCTCCCCTCCCCGCTCGCCGCCTCCTGCCACCCCCACCCCACCTCTACCTTGGCGCTCCCCCCCGCCGCCTCCTGTCTCACCACCCCGACCTCGACCCCCTTCTCTGCACTCCCTGCCTCTCGTGGCCTTCCTCGTCAGCCTCCTGTGGCCCTGAACCCCGCTTTCGGGCCCCCCTCACAGTCTCTCCTCCCCTGGGACCTCCTGGCCTCCTCTCTGCTCTTCCATCTCTCCCTCACTCTCGCTCCATCCCGGTCACCCTGTTGTCGGCCTGGGAGCCGGTCTCGGCCCGGTTCTCTGTCCGTATGTCCGTAGGTCTAGTCTCCCTCCTCTGAGCTCGGTCTGTCTCCCTCTCTTTCTCCGCGATTACAATTTCTAGTCACACGGCAGTGCAGAACCAAGCTGTGCCTCCGCTCCCTCCTTCCCCACCCCCTCCCTCCTTTCTCTCCGGAGCGGGGAGGGCGCCTCTCCTCCCTCCTCCAGGCCCCTCTTCCCTACTCCCTTTTCCCTGCTCGGGGAGCCTTCCCCTCCCCCGCTAATCAAAGGCTCCGTTATCTAATTAACCCATTGGTTCTGGGCAGCCGAGGAAGGTCGGGGGAAGCGGGGGAGGGAGGTTGACGGCTGGGCTGCCCAGGGAAGGGGGGGTTTGAGCTGTGCCAAGCCTGGGCTTCGTGGAACAGACAACCTCATTCGGCTGCACAACCTTGTCGGCGGCACAGCCACCTCCCTGCACCCCCCCACCGCAGACTCATGGCTTACACAGGGTCCACTACAGGCCCATACCTCAGATACTCCCCAAAGGCCCCCACCCATGTCACACAGCCATTAACTTCAACACTACCAACCTGGACATACCAGTGAACATGGAACCGTATCATCGTCACCCCAATCCTCCGCCGAAGGCCATTCATGCCCAGATGCCACAAAGAACCCCACTCCCAGATGCATCTTTCTCCCCTGGGCCTTAGCCACCTTCTCATATCTGCCTCTTGATACACTTCTGCAGAATGGGCAGGTGGCCTCGCTCCTTCATTCAATCCATCACCCACTTACCCATCCACCCATCCCCTCACTCACCC